CCTTGGGACCCACATGGTAGAAAGAGAGAAATGACTCCTGAAAGTAATCTGCTGACTATTACACACATGCCATGGCATGGCTGCGCCCCAATGAATAAATAATAAGTAAATAATAATAAATAAATAATAAATAAATAAATAAAAGAATGTAGGGAAATACTGGGAAAAACTGTTTCAGGACACTAGAAGGTGAGACTAAATGGTCATTTTAGGGCTGAGGGTATAGCTAAGGGGTATAGCTCTAGCACTTAGTACATAGCATGCCCTGGGTTCAAACCCCAGTATTGCATAAACAAGTCGTCAGCAGACTTAAAAGCCCTTCCCCTCATTCGTCCAGCTGTTGACGCAGGGCATGCTGCCCAATAGATGTCCAAAGTCTCATTTTCACAGACAGCAAACAGCAAACACACTTGACCCTTAAGACCCAGCCAGCTTTACTGCACCAGCTAAACTTGATTAGACATGGAGGGCTCTAACCCTCTAAATGAAAGGTCCTCCTGGCTCAGGCTTCAAGTAACTAGATTGGAGGCTAATCCCCTCAATTGTATGTTATATTCTTCTAGAACTTTCAGTGCTGTGCAGAGGACTTTAACATCCCTTTCCAAATGTTGAACAGAAACAAAAAATGTGCAGGGATACCAGAAATGGAACTGTCAAGAGAGCTTAGTGGGTAACAGAGCTTGCCATTTTTGTGTGTGTGTCTGTATGTCTGTGTTTGGTATGTCCACTTGCATGCAATGCCCACAGAGATCAGAAGAGGGTGTTAAATTCCCTAGAACTGAGGTTACTGACGGTGAACTATATTAGCAACTTAACCTAAGTTACTCCATCTTGCTCAGAATAGCTATTTTAACAGTAACCTCTTTTCACTTATGGGAAATATTTCAAAAGAGACAACAGCCTTGAGTTCTAAGAAATAGGTCAATCACAAACCAGTGGAATGTGCTAATCTCAGACATTCTACATCTGGCTAACTGTTTTCGCTTCTGTAACTTGCTTGCCATTTTAGG